CTATTCTTCCTTTACTTTTAAGTAGTCACCTGTCCTATTGCCTCCTATTGACAAAATGTTTTTCCTACTAAAAGGGTAGAGGTTGCTACTATAAGAGTGATTGCCCCTTTAGGATCAAATCCTTTTAATAGTGAGAGCATTGAAGATAATGCTTTGAGCTATCATTGAATGTAGTACTTTGAATCGATTCAATTATATTGTCAATAAAGGTAATGCTTCGGATCGATTCGATCATATTGTCATCAAAGGTAGCACTTTGAGCTATTCTAATTGTATTATCATCAAAGATAACATTTATGATTATTTCGATCATGCTATTGTGATAAGGCATTTTCATTATGAAGTTGGCTTATCAAGCATGATCCTCGTGCTACACACGTCTTATAATCTTTGTTGGTTATTGAAAATGATTGCATGATATTTTATCAAAAAATCTAACTAGCACATGTGAGTTGCCTTGACTTTTGGCATATCTATTATATCTATAGTTATATCAAATCAAGGGAGATTTGACTCTTGTTTGCATAATCATGATTTGAGATTATATATATATCATTTAACCAAACATCTCCACATAATAGTGCATCAAATAATCGAGGTTTCGGATCGATTACAATATCTACAACTAATAATCTTCAACAAATATGTGACTAATACCTTAATTACAAATAGACCGTCGGATAATCAAAGGGTTTGGCATCAATAGCCCAAAGGTCACTTGGGCCCTATAAATAAGTTTCTTCTTCTTCAAATCAATACCTGATATGGACTTCCTCATATCAATATCTCTTGCCATATCTGCATTTATGTAACCTGTCAATACAGGTGGTCCACCTCCAAAGGTTAAGCAAATCTTAGAGCTCCGTCTGAGATATCTAAAAATTCACTTCATTGTTGTCTAATGCTCTTTGCCTAGATTTGTAAGAAATCTACTAGTAACACCCACTATATATGTGATGTCCGACCTCGTACACATCATTGCATACATTAAACTTTCAACTGCTGAAGCATAAGGAACTTTTTGCATTTTCTCTTTCTCCTCATCACTTGACGGACTCTGTTCTGAGTATAACTTGAAGTAACATGCAAAAGGCGAACCAACTGGCTTTATATTGCTTATACTGAATCTTTCCAATACATTCTCGATGTATTTCTCCTGTGACAACCAAATCTTCTTGGTTTTTCTATCATAGGAAATCTGCATGCCTAGTATTTGCTTTGCTGGCCCCATATCCTTCATTGCAAAAGACTCACTTAATTCCTTCTTCAACCTGTTAATTGTAGACAGACATATCTTTGTCAAAAATAAGTATGTCATCAACATAAAGTAAGAGAATAATAAAATTCTCACCAAACCATTTGATGTACACACAATAATCTGAAGTTATTCTTTTGTATCTATTTTCTATCATAAATGAATCAAACTTTATGTATCATTGTCTTGGAGCTTACTTCAGCCCATACAAGCTCTTCCTCAACTTGCAAGCAAAGTTCTTTTTACCTTTAACTTTGAAGCATTCTGGTTGCTCCATATAAATTTCCTCATCTAAATCACCATGAAGGAAAGCTGTCTTCACATCGAACTGCTCAACCTCCAAGTCCTGGCTAGCAGCAATACAAAGAGCAACACGAATATAAGATATTTTAACAATAGGAGAAAAAATCTTTTCAAATTCAATAATTTTCTTTTGACCAAAGCATTACAGTTTCTTCTTCTTCAAATCCTCAAAGGTTTGATCCTCAATGAAGACTACATATTTGTTTCTAAATACCTTCTGCTTTTCTGGATCCCAAAGCTTGTAACCAAAGTGATCATGTGAGTAGCCAAGAAAAATATATTCTTTTGTCTTACCATCCAACTTGGACCTCTCATTGTCTGGAACATGTGCAAATATACGACAACCAAACACTCTCAAATGTCTATAGGAAACATCTTTCTCTGACCATACATACTCTACAACATCACATCTAGGGTTGTACATGGTGACAAGTTGATCACATCAACTACAGTCCTCAAAGCCTCATCCCAAAACCTTTTAGGTAGTTTGGCCTGTGAAAGCATACATCTGATCTTTTCCATGATGGTGCGGTTCATCCTCTCTGCAATAGCATTATATTGAGATATACTAGAAACTGTCATCTCATGTTAGATGTCATGTGACTTGCAATAATCATTAAACAATCCTGTGTACTTACCACCAGATCTTATGCATTTCAATTTTCTTTGTCTCCCTTTTAACTCTAGCATAAAACTTTTTGAAGACATTAATAATCTGATCTTTGATCTCCAAAGCATAGGCCCAAACTTTCCTAGAAAAATCATCTATAAAAATGATAAAATAAAGTGCACCATTGATACCAAGAATATTAACAGATCTACTAGGAGTTTTTGTCCTCAAAGGATCACATATATCTGTATAAACATGGTCTAAGGTATGCATTTTTTTAGACATAGCAGGACTAGCAAATGAAACTCTATGTTATTTCTAGCCAAACAATCAATACAAGGGTTCAGACGTATACCTCTAAGGTCTGGCAATACCTCTCTCTTGGAAAGAGCTTGTAGACCCTTGTCGCTCATGTGTCATAATCGCGTATATCACAACTCCATGTTGAAGTCTTTCTCTATAGCATTTAACTGCTCACCATACGCTTTGGCCTGCAACCTGTATAAGGTATGACATTTCTTTCCACTAGCCACAATAAGAGAACCCTTACTGAGTTTCTATTGCCCTTTGTGAAATCTATTATCATAGTCTTCATCATATAGTCTTCTAACTGAAATTAAATTCAGCCTCAAGTTAACCATATGTCTCACATCCTTAAGCACCAACTTACAATCAAGGTTAGTCTTTATATGGATATCACTCATGCCAATGATGTATGTCATGTCATAGTTGCCCATCTTGACAACACCAAAATTTTTAAACTTGTAGGTAGCAAAGAACTCTGTCCGTGGTATAGCATGATAAGAAGCTTCTATGTCAATCACCCACTCAGGATCCTAACACACAGAAGAAAAAATATCATCAAAAGGAGACAAAATCAAATAATCATCACCATGCACTATAGTTGTGATATTATTTTTTGACTTTGTAGACTCCACTTATTTTTTCTTTTTTCTTGCTCTTCTTATGTTACTTACATTGGTTCTTATAATATCATTTCTCACCATAGTTATAGCAAATAATATCCTTTCTTGATCTTGACTTGCTTTTACCTATGCGTGAACTGCTTCTAGACTTTGACCTTCCTTTGTTCTCTGAGATAAGTACATGTGAATAATTCTAAGATGTTGCTGAATTCTTTCTTCTCAACTCATCATTTAACAAACTGCTTGTTACTAGACTCATGGTGACAACACCATCTAGCACAGAATTACTGGGGGAAACTACTAATGTCTCCTAACTTTCTAGCAAAGAATTGAGAAGTAACAATACCTGCAACTCATCATCAAGAGACATTTTTTATATAGGATAACTGGTTAGTTATACTATGTATTTCATTTAAATGCTTAGAAGCATCCTCTTTATATTTTAGGTTTACAAATTTTCTAATCAAGAAAGCTTTGTTGCCAGTTATTTTTTTTTCGTTGAGACCTTCCAACTTTTTTCTACAGAGAATATGTAGAACTTTCAGTAGAAACATAGTAAAAGACATTGTTATCGAGCCACTATCGAGTAAACCCGATCATTTTTCGGTCTAATCTCTTCCACTCATCATCTATCATAGTTGTGAGCTTTGCACTATCTCCCTACAAAGATCTATATAAATCTTTATAATGCAAGAGATCTTTCATTCTTGGTTTTCATATCATCCAATTGTTTCCATTCAAGCTAATCATGTGAGAAACACTACCGGCCTCCATGTTTAAATACAAAAATTAAATCACCAAAACCCTACTCTGATACCAGTTGATGGGATATAAAGAGAAATAATTTTTGTATATAAACAAATACTAGCAGGTCATAACACGTAGTAGAAATAAATGAAATCATAATCAAATATGACACCAAGATTTACGTGGAAAACCCCTCTAACGTGAAGGGTAAAAATCACAGGTCGAACTAGAGATAATCTACTATAAGAATAATAAAAATACAAATCTCAGTCTTTTGCCCAAAACCCTAGTAACAATCACAAGAGAATAACTATGATACAAGGATTATGTCATTGTATATAATATCCAAATTCTCCCCAAGTAATAATAGTAAAAATCTACTGTAGATATGATCTGAGATGAGAATACTGCCTAGATGATTGAGAACAGTCTCTTTGTGTTGTCTTTATCTTCTTCCCTTTTCTTCTCTTATTTTTCTATCTTTTTCTCCTAATTTTTGGAATCAAGTAGCTGTTGCCATTTTTTATCATCATTGCTGTAATTTTTCTCAATGTTGTTATAGTTTTTCTCCTCAAAAAATCACAGCCACCACACCCCCTAATTTGATCTAGGGTTAGGTGAAAGGGAATGGACCGTGAATTTATGGGCTGTCAGCCCAATGACCTACAATTTTATATACATAACTCAACCGTCCACAGCCAATGTTTCAGGTACCAGTGCATCAAACAGCCAATGTTTCGGATTGATTATACTATATTAGATGAATAATTCATCTACAATAGATGACTATCACCATAATCACGCCAAACCACCAAGTAACCGAATGATTTGGCAACGTCAGCCGGAAAGTTACTGGGACCCTATTTAGTTCTCACTTCACTTCTCTTCACTTGTCCTCTCCTACAGGTATAATCTTATTGGAGAACGGACGACCAGAAACGGAGCGGAAGCGAGACAGAGAGCGAGAGGAAGCATCCTAATCTCCTGGTACTCAATCTCCTTCATCGAAGGGCTCCAATTCTTCCAAGTATTTAAAGCCTCAAATTCGTATCCCTCTTCTCGTTCTCATGTGTTGTTAGCAATAATCCAAGGCAGCAACAATTCAACGAGTGACACACATTTTAAGCGTTAGTTCCCTTCAGATCCTCACTATATAACTCTCTCTACCCAATCCATCTCAACAAACAGTTCATTCATCAAAGATTGATCTTTCACAAGGTTGATCTTCACGTAGAAGATGCATCTCGGTCTCTATGAGGTATCATTTCTCCTCCTCCATCTCTACTTTGCCGCCTTCATTTGCACCACAGGTGCATCATCACCATCTCTTTTTGATGCCAATCTTGAACTCCCGAGAGGTTTCATGCCAACCGTGTCACTGGAACACTTAGACCCCACCCTCCCCCCGGCTCTCCCCACCCAGACTCCGCACTGTTCCCTGGTCGTCCTCCAACAGGACTTCGCCAACACCGTCGGCGCGACGCCGGCCTCCGCCAACTATACGCACCCCCCAGACTGCCCCTTCCCATGGACGCGCGTCGTCCTCGAGCTCAGCGTCGCCGCAACAGACCTCCAGGAGTCCCGAGTCGCCGCCATCTGGATCGACGGCGCAGAGGTCCTCCGCACCGCCACCCCCATCCCCATGGTTCGTGGCGCTTTCTGGCGCGTCCACAAGGACGTCACCCGCTACACGGCCCTCCTCCGCCGCCTGGCTGATGGCGGCGGTGTTGTCTCCATGATGCTGGAGAACTCAAACGCGGTCCTTCCCGGCGTCTTCAGCGCCAACGTCTCGCTCCATTACTACCGCGGCCCGGTCGACGATGGCAGGTCGAAGTCAGTGTCTAATGCGGCGCACCCCTCCGTCAGATCCCTTTACCGCGAGCCCGCGGACCTTGTCCTTCCCATCTCCAAGCCCGACGGACAATATGGATCCGGCTTTTGGTATCGTATTGACAACGAGACCGGCGTCGAGTCTACCACCGTCGCCATCCCCAGAAACACCTACCGTGCGGTCCTTGAGATATTCGTGTCGTATCATGGCGAGGATGAATCATGGTATACTAATCCATTGAGAAATAACTATCTTCACCAGTCAACTGCAGCCAAGCTTTCGGCACCGCGGGCCAACGGCGCGTTTCGGCAGGTCTACGCCACAATCGACGGGCGTTACGTAGGTGGGCACGTTCCCTTTCCGGTCATCTACCCGAGTGCCATCAACCCCTTTTTCTGGTCCCCGGTGGCGGCAATCGGCGCGTTCGACATGCCGTCTTACGACCTCGACCTGACGCCGTTTCTGGCGCTGATGCTCGACGGGCGGCCCCACGAGATCGGGCTGGGTGTGCGCAACGCCCTGCCACACTGGCTCGTGAACGCCAACCTCCACCTCTGGGTCGACTATTGGTCGGACGCGGTCCAGGCCGGTCCGGTGGCGTACTTTGCCCCGGCCATCCAGATGAACCGCAACGCCGAGTGGCGCAACCCCGACGGTCAATCGGAGATCGGGGCCGAGGGGCACGAAAGGTTCGCCGGGTGGGTGAGCTCGTCGAGGGGTAACCTCACCACCGAGGTGCGGCATAAGATCAAGCTGACGAGCCAGGTGCAGGTGCAGAACCGCGGGGCGGTGACCCAGATCGATTTCATCCTCAAGGAGAGGACAATGGTGACAGTCATGAGGGGGAACCAGTGGCTCCACCGGGCGCAGGCGGTGCTGGATGCGCCCATGCAGGTTCAGACCGCGATGGTGAACGCGGCGGGCGGGCCGGCGCGGCAGAAGACGCGGCTCTTCCACCAGCTGATGGAGGCGGTGAGCCTGAGCGAGGGGCAGGCCGGGGCGACGACGACGAGAGAGCTGACCGACCGGCAGGACGCGGAGGGATCGGCGCTTGTGGACGGCGGATGGGAGAGCGGAAGGATCCGGTCGTCATACCAGTACAGGGACGGGAGCAAGTGCTACGCCCGGAACGTGGCCACGGCTGGCGGAGCGGTCATCCAGGACAGGAAGGCCTCCTGCTTTGCCATGGCTGATGATGCCTGAAGACGTGAGATAGAGTGCATGGATGCTAATGCTTTGCGTAGTTGATTCATTTCTCAGTTGCTGGTTCCGAGTATAATGCAATAGCTATGGTGTATTGTGAGAATAAGGTATCCATCCTTCAATGTCATACTTGTATTAATATGAGATATTTCAAATAAGGGTCATCATATGGTGAGTTGGCACAAAATATGTGTTGGTCTTTTATGGTTCATAATAGTTTATTCTTATTTTTGTGTTGATTTGCTAATTGTATGTTTACATATGAATGTATCGAAAACGAAGCAACAAGTAATAACTATAAAGGAAGGCTTTTAAAGATTCAAAATTTATTAGAGTTCACAATCTTTTCTAACATTACTTTTTTTAATTATAGTACAGACTCGTTTCATTTAGACATATCATAGTCTGACTAACTCAATAATTTCTTTTAATTCAAATCAAAATTTGACTCTATGATATTATGTGAACAATCGAAAAGGAATTGGCTGTGAAGAAGACAAGTGCATAATTAACCATATCGAACCTTGTTGGACATATGTAAACCAATATCCACCCACTTCCCTATCACTCACTGTTTCTCCGGGCATGTTCTTGATGATGTCTGAGCCACCAGGATTACTAATGTTCAGACAGTAAACACGAAAATATTTCTCATATGCAGTTCCAAGATCAACGTTACCTCCACTAAAATGATGTTCTTCAACCTGAGGACCGTGTCTCGTAGTCTTCTATCACCGTGAAGATATGAACAGATAATTTGTAAATATAATTATTTTTCAAATAATAATAATAAAGTACTATTAGTCTAAAATCAAATCAAATCAAAGAAAATGAAGTAGAAAAAGGAAAAACTATATTAAACTTCTAAAAAATATATATTTATATGATCTTGAATTATTCTTTAACTTGAGCCCTATATATGTCTTCATCTATATATATAGATGTAGAATAATAATTTAAACAAAAAAAATTTATCTCTAAAATTTTATTTAATTTATTTATTTAAAAATAAAAGATAAAAATCTAAAATCTTTCAAAAAAAATACTTTAAATCTTAACAATCACAATCTTAATTGTATAGGAAGCTGTTCAATTGTAATTTGCTCATGGCAGAAACTAAATTGTATTAAACATGACATACTATATTAACCAAGTTTTTTATAAGTCTTTGTTAAATAATAGCCCTTGCTTGCATGACACCAAAAAATTATTGTAATGATTCTTTTGAGTTTTAGATCAATTACAACAAAAGTGATGAAAATTTTGGAGATTATGAAGAATGACTAGAATTGGATTATATTACCCAATTTTGGTCCAAAATTATTATATTTGAATGTAAGAATATTATGTTTTGAGCTGATATTAACCTTCTAAAAAATATTTATATGATCTTGAATTACACACACACACACACACACACAC